CGATCCCAATACGAAGTTCGCGAACATCAGGGATATCCATCGGGCTCAAATCGAAGCGGGTGAAAAGGAGGTTATCACGGCTGAATCCAGCGACTCTGAATGCCCTAGTGAGGCTGGCAGCTGTATTGTAGTGGGTGTGGTTGAGGATCAATAGTTAATAGTAATGAGGAGGTTGGGTTGTGATCCCATCGTTTTTGTGGTGCCAGAAACAGGGCGGTGCCAGGAAGTGGGTATGTTGACTTACAGTGATGAAGTTCGGAACCTCGGGAGCAAGCATTCCCAAGTAAGTGTCAGGGAATCCTGGTTTGCCGCCAGGTCTCCAAGCCCTCTGGAGATCAAGTCCTTTGTAAACGACAGGGAACTGCGTACTGAATGTAATGTCGTGACCTGTACTGCATATGACTGCGTCAACTTCGCGAAGAGTGTCTAATCACCGAGTCAGTGAAAGATGCTCCATAGATCAGCAGAAATTGGAACCCACCATCCACAGTCCGAATGCCGGTTTCAGTGAACTCTGAGATCCGGTCGGTGATGTAGTTGACATTTTCCGCTGTCAGCGCCTCGAGATAGCCCGGTCCAGGTGTCAGCCGACGACAGCCTACTGGGAATTCAGGTATAATCTCATCAGCAAGCTTGGAATCCGCCCCCAGCCGTACTCTCATAAGCTGTTTGATGTAATCTTCGGCCGCTGCATTCTGAGGTCCGTCTTTGAAGATTCCGCCGAAGCGGCTGAAAAGCTTTGCCTCCAGAGCTTTACGGAATTTGAGATACTTTTCGGGGTCTGCCCGCGCGTCTTCGATGTTTTCTGCAACAAAGTCTGCCAAGTCTTCTCCTCCGATTGGTGCTGCAACCCATGTTTTGTTGCGGGCATAATGATCAACTCTTGCAGCGATTTTTTGTAGTTGCGGGAGCACTTGTAGTCCGGAAGCGCCATTTCCAATGACTGCGATCCGCTTTCCTTTTGGGTCGAACTCAGGGTCCCAATTCGAGGTATGTCGTAGGTGGCCCTCAAACTTGTCGATCCCTGGATACTGAGGAAGCTTTGGGTCGCTGAAGTGGCCCGTGGCAGTAATCAAGAAGTTGGCTTCGTCAGTGACTACACCGTCGTCTGTTTGAATTTCGACGATCCATCTGGCCTTTTCCTCAGACCATTCCGCAGATGTGACGCTATGCCTGAAGCGGATATACTTGCGCACGTCGTACTTGTCCGCAATATCTTGCCAGTAAGATTGAATCTCAGAGCCGGTGGCATACGCCTCGGTCCAATCTGTCGATGGAGCAAACGTAGCCTGGTAAGCGTGAGCGGGTACATCGCACCGAACACCAGGGTAGATGTTGGTATGCCAGACGCCTCCCTTCGTTGCCTCGCGTATCAGTGACTGGTGCTTCGTGATACCATTCTCCTTCAACTTACAAGATCGTCGTTTCTCTCGTAGATTATGAGATCTAGGTTGGGAACCTTCGCGGGAAGTAGAATGGCAGCGGTGATGCCCGAAATGCCGGCACCCACAACGATAGCTCGGACACTTTGATGTTCATCAATGGGATGCTCTTCTATTAAGAAATGAGGGTTAATGGTTCGAAGAATATTGTTGTCAGCCGCTGGAAGGGAACTTGCACCATCGATAGACGGGTCTAGTATCGCGCCTGGCGCCATGATTGATCACTCTGACAAAAACGAGACGACAATGCTTAACACTTCTCTAAGTATGGATTGCGATTGAGTTTGTATCTTCATTATCGTCGATTACCGGCGTATCACATGGATGACGCAACTATCACGGTTGCTTGCAAATACCCCCAGTTCCCGATGCGATAGGATTGTGCATGCAGCGTCCTGCAGACACTTGGAAACAAATTTCCTTCGCATGTGTTTTGAGGGGAAGGAAGACTCGATTGGTTCCAGACAAGCATACAATCAAGGATGCATCAATTCTCCATGATACGCCATACGCTATCTAGCTTGCGAATTTACTAAATCTCGGGCTTGTCCGGGTTTTAATTCTGATAAGACATTGCGAAACTCGAACATCCGTACTTACTGCCGAAATCGGCTCGGACGAATTGCGTGATCCTTCAAGACCAAGTGCGCAATGAGTTATCAATGGGAATTTGCTCTCTTCCGCCGATGGCAAGTTGACAACAGACGCAGCACCGGCTCATTTCCGCCAACGAGTTGGACTCAGCGCAGCACGAGCTTACCCCGCCAAGATGGAACCTTCTGCCAGGCGGCAGATTATACTCAATGCATTTGACATGTTCACTCCGAGCCATCTCTGCTTCGGTCAGTGGCGCAGGGGTGAAGATGAAGTCGCCGACAAATTTAGAGATCTCAGTTACTGGACCAATCTCGCGCAGACACTTGAGCGGGGAGACATTCACGCTTTGATTCTGGCTGATACCTATGGTCAACACGATATCTACAATGGAAGCGCTGAACCAACGATACGGACAAGTTGTCAGTTCCCGATGGGCGACCCCGTTATCGTAAGTGACAAATGTAACATTTGTACCGATGGCCATGCATTGACATTAGGAGTAGCCGGTGACGGCGATGGCAACTGTAACGAAGAAACTTGGGTTCATTGTAACAACCAGTACGAGTTACGAGGCACCATTCGTCGTCGCAAAGAGGTTCTCGACACTCGACCATCTTACCAAAGGGCGGTTTGGCTGGAACATCGTCACTTCTTTTAAGGAATCTGCTGCCAAGGCCGTAAGTTAGACTCCGCAAAAAGGTCCTCGTCAAGATCATGCATAACTTTCTTCAGGTCGGGGTCTCATATGTCGAACATGATGAGAGATATGCCGCTGCTGATGAATACTTGGAGTTGCTCTACAAGTAAGGTCATATGAGTGTACACGAAGTTCCTAGGCTAAGAGGTCAGAATATGGGAAGGCTCGTGGGCAGACGATGCTCTCAAGAAAGATGCAACGAACAACATCTACGCCGATCCCAGTCGTATCCGTTGGATCAAGCATCATACGGCAAGGTTCAATGTGGATGCTCCTCACATCCTGCATCCTTCACCTCAAAGAACTCCATTTCTGCTTCAAGCAGGGACATCATCGTAAGTACGAACCACACAGTTCACACGCCTACTTTCGGCTGAACCTTCACAGCGCTGGCATAGCTTTCGCTGCCAAACACGCAGAGGGTATCATGATATCGGGGCTTTCACCTCACATCTTGGCGCCTCGCGTAGCAGCCATTCGTCAGCAAGCAGCGGAAGCTGGCCGTGACCCTGGTAGTGTCAAGATTTTCGCCGTCATTACACCAGTCATTGCGAGAACAGACGAAGAAGCCACTGCAAAATACCGCAAAGCCTTGGAATTTGCGAACTTCGAAGCTGGTCTTGCATTCTTTTCAGGTAATGCTGGAATAGACCTCGCCAAAGACGATTTAGACGCAGAAATAAGACCAGATGATGCTACCATTGATGGGCGGGTACACTCCATGGTCAGCAGTCTGAAATACCGTAGCGATGACATTCCAGTTTGGACGCCTCGAAATATCGGAAAAGTCATGGCCATCGGCGGGAACGGGCCTGTGCCAGTTGGATCGGCAGCTCGTGTTGCAGATTTCCTTGAGGAGTGGGTGAGGATTGCAGATTTAGATGGGTTTAACGTTGGATATGTCACAACCCCTGAGAGTTTCGAAGATGTGGTAGATTTGCTAGTGCCTGAGCTTCGCGGAAGAGGGCTATACGGGTACGACGGACTATCGGGAGATGGAGTCACTCTGCGTGAGAGGATGTATGGTGTTGGCCAGAAACATCTCCGCCACGACCACATTGGAGGTCAATACAAGTACAAGTAGTGCCATGATTCGTATGAAAGAGGGGAATGAGGTGGTCTCTGAGACTTGCTAGACATCATCCCTGAAGAGTGCACAAGAACCAGGATTTGGCTCCATTCAATCAACCCCCACTTGCCATGTTATGTTGTCATTCGTTCTAAAGTTGCATCAGTTCTGAGGACTCGGTAACAGGCCGATAATGTGCTCTGTCGGCCTCGCTCTGGCCAGCAGGGACACAAAGGGTTTTTGATGCCCCCTCCATGTCGGTACAAAAGTAAGTAGTATTGCGAATTACTTCTGATTACATCCGCGACCATCCACCTAACGACCTGCGACTGCCATGGACTCCCAAAATGCATCAACAAGAGATACTGGCAAGGATCTTGGGCCTCAAGAGCCCTCGTCATCAAGATGGGATCTCCTAAGCGGTGTCATATGGGATGGTCCTCGAACAAAAGAAGAACACCGCCTTGTACAACGCCTCGACTTCTTCGTATTGTAAAGAATCCCGTGTTTTGAAGATGTGCTCAGAGCTGCGCTGACCATGCTCACGACAGAAGCTGGGCTACTTTTGGATATTTCGTCAGGCTACTCGACTCAAGCAACATCAGTAAGGGCAACTCTTGGCACTAGGACACTGAAACAATGTATGAAGTTCTTACCAAAAATAGCAAATGCGTATGTCAGCGGTATGAAAGAAGACCTCGACTTTCAAGGCAACGAGTACAACCTGTTACAAACTTTCTTTACTTGCGGGTATCTGGTCGGTCAAATTCCTTCGCAGTTCTTGCTCACTCGCTGTAGGTTCTTGGAATGCGATTAGTTCTTATGTACAGCCCAAAAGCTTAACATCTGCCAGTTCGGCCCTCAATTTACTTACCCGTGGCGGAGCTCCTCTGGACCATTGTCACATTTTGTTTTGCCGCTGTCAAGGACGTTCGTCATGTCTTAGCAATGAGATTCCTGGTAGGATTCCTTGAAAGTCCCTTTGCCGTCGGCGTTCTGACCATCATGGGAAGCTGGTACACGCCTCGAGGTAAGAGCATCCATTGTGCGAAGACTCACTTCTTTGTCCTTACCTCGCCCCTTAGAACTCTCCAAGCGGATTTCAATCTTTTATTCGGCCAGCTATGCTGCTAGCATGTTCAGCGGATACCTCCAAGCCGCAATCTATCGAGGTCTCAATGGAGCCGGCGGCCTCCCAGGTTGGCGGTGGCTTTTCATTTTCTGTGGCATAATCTCGATCTGGGCTCCCATCTGGGGATTTTTCGCCGTCCCTGATAACCCTCATATCACAAGGGCTCGCTGGATGCGTCCGAGTGAGCAGGCAAAGCATATCGCGAGGATGGAAGCCATCGATCGGCGCAAATCCGAGCCTTTGACAAAGGCCAGGGTCTTGGGTATTTTCACGAACTGGCCCATTTACGTCTTCAGCTTCGCATTGATGTGAGTTCACCGTACCTCTCATGACACCCAGTATGGAACAGTCTGACATAACTCGCAGTTGCCATTGCGTTGTCACACAACCCCTTAACTACTTCTCTGTTTGGCTGAAGTCCTTGAACCGCTTTACGGTCTATCAGATCAACCTCTTTCCTACCGCAGCGCAAGCCGTCGGTCTCGTGACCACTCTGCTATATGCTTGGCTCTCTGATGGGTTGGGGAAGAGGTGGCAGGTTTTACTGATTCCAGCTGTTAGTACATGAAACATCGGCATCCCGATCTCGCTGACAAGACGCAGACCATCAACCTTATCGGCATGATCATGGTTGCAGTTGAATCAAGCTACGCGTTGACCTTTGTCGGATATGTTATCAACGCCGCTTCGTGGGGCTTTTGGCCGGTCCTCTACGTGAGCCACTCTTTCTGCGGCTTTCCTGCCTCTTTAATACTGATGTCGTCTACCTTAGGCCTGGGCAATTGAGATCATGCACAAGAACATGGAGGAGCGTGCGATCGTTATTGGGGTTGCACAGACCCTAGGCCAAGCTTTCATTGCATGGGTTCCAGGTTTGCAACTATCTTGCCCTCAATATCTTGAAAAGACGCTAATTGTTGCAGTCGTGATTCTCGATGTGGGTAAATATGCACCGTCCTTCCACATGGGGTTCTCCGTCATGTGTGGAGTGAGCGTTTTGGAGCTTTCGAGTATCTTCATAATCAGACACTTTGAGAAGCGAGGAAAGGCGAAGAACGAACAGTCCATCCTTAGCAACTAATAATCATCGCTCTCACTTCAGACTTCAACATTTCCGGTGTTGGTATATAATTGGAGATCTCATGGTCTAAGTATGCAAATGCTCGTACAGATAGATAATGTAGACGGTCACCTATGATTTGTAGTGAGAAAGCCTGCGGATGTGAGTGTTAGTCCTTGTCCGTGAGGTACCATCAATGTCAACACTGAGAAGTACTTACTCAATCAAGTTTCCGTCGGGATCTCTCACGTAAACGCTCTGGATGGGACCCTGTGCTCCCGTTCTCGCAACCACCTTCTCTCCCTCAAGAACCTGAACTCCGTCCCCTTGGAAGCCCTTGATCAGTTCCTCAAGATTGGTGCCATCCTCCACCAAGAAACAGAGGTCGGCCGTGCCCGGCAGTGCCGTCTTGGCTTTTGGCTCAAACTCCTTGCCCTGCTGATGCAGATTGATCTTGTGTGTGCCGAACTTCAGTGCGTGCCTCTGGACGGATGGATCTAACGGCGACGTGAATGTTTCTGCCTTCATCCCGAGGTACTTGGTGTACCATTGGACTGTCTTTGGGACGCTGGCGCAGGTAAGAACGAGGTGATCCAGCGTCTTGACGACGGCTCTGGCTCCGGACATGGTGATAGAACGGGGCACAAAGGTACGATGAAAACCTAGAGCCTTTGCGGATTGCAAATTTGATTGGCGTGACAGGTCGAGTCTTGGCAATGGTGGAGGTTTTGGCCTGGCTTGGGGTCTCTGCAAATGTTTTGCGCGAGGTTTAAAATGAAGAAGAAAAGGAATGGGGATTTGGAGAGCGGCAAGGACGTCATTAGTGCATTGCTTGGGCGGATCGTGCCGAGTTTCCGAAGCGTTCGGCTTGCGGATCCGGCGCCGAGTTTAGATTCGCCGGGACCCCACATCCGAGGCCCGCCGTTCCTAGTTCGGAATGAGATCCAGATCTTCCAAGCTACTTCGATATCAAGATCGGAGATTAATGAGATTTTCTTCTCGACAGCATGTGACTGCTTTTCTTGCTATTGTAGAATTCTACTAGTACACCATGAGGAAGATCTTAAGCGTACATCAATGGGCCAGGTGAAGGCTGGCTGTAACCAGCCACTTTGGAAATGTGATAGACTGGTAGAGCCCTAAAGACACAACACTTTCCCAGGATATGATGTACAAAAACTACACTCATCATAAATTCGTCAATGATATGTTTGGTTGGGTATCGAGGTAATGCGCAAGATCAACTTCATTCCCGGTGCAATTCTGCCTTGGAAAGCCACATCAACTTCAGTCTCTAATACACCTTGGTGAATCTCTAAGGTATGTTACTTTCAGCCTTAATCTAGTGCTGACGCTGTTCATTTGTAGCTTCTGCTGGCGGATGATACGAATGAGAGGTGTGTTGACAGTGATCACTCACTAGCGATCGACATCTGCAGTACGCAACACGAAGACGAGGCCAGAGGAGGATTCACTCCTCGCAATCCCACAATAGAATTGCCCATCCAGAAACTTTGAATCCAGCGTGAGGCAAAGTAAGATGCAGAGCTAGTCGAACACGAGCGCCCGTCATCTCGAGGCTAAGGCACATCGGCGTCAGGGGCAACCCACAAATGAAAGACCCCTGGACTTTAAGACAGTCATATGAAGTAACCATATTTGACGACGGCCTCATGTAGTTGTCTGATCGTCCTCAGTATTTTATTGGCTGTCTTGAGTCTGCTTGCGCAGGTGGCTGAGGCGGAGTGGGTGTACATGGTCCGAGATTTGTGCCACGACGCCCGCATGTGTGGGCTAACGAGTAGGGTGATATGGGCAAATGACAGTGTTATTGTTTGCATTCATCGTGGTCGCAAAGGCAGCGAGTGACGGATTTCGAAGCCCGAAGACGATTGAAATGGCTCTATAGACGTATGATATCAGGTGAAATCTCAACGCACGACGCTGGGTCAGTGATCGCAAGATCGATAGATATCGAGATGCAGTCTGGTCCCCATTGTAGCGGCCACGTACAATATGGTATCCTTTGTCTAATCGTTCTTGATGTGTAAATTAAATTCTGTAGGGCGGGAAGAGGGATTCAGGAAGCATCACTTGAAACTGCCAATTGGAGGGAAATTCAGGCTCACACGACAACGACGTTGCAAGCCACTCGCCATAGCCAGATTAAAACAACGTTAGCTACCGGCAGCTGAAAAACAAGCTTAAATCTGATTCGGCAGCACGACACCATGCTCACAGCCTGCCGCAGCGATGCATAACCGACAGGAGCTAAGTCCTGGCTGCAGTGCTGGCAGCGGATTGACAGGCAGACAGACTCCTATGAACAAACCCGGTGTCTGGGGTTTTGATGATCTTCTTGATCGTGTTCCTCGAATCAGCCTAGCCACTCAGCCTGACAACTTCAAGAGATCGAGCTTATCGACGTGCGCGGGGTAACTCCTCCCCGAGCTTACCTGCAGCCACAAGAAAGCTGAGCTCTCAAAATAAGCAATTGCTTAACCCCAGACCCTGGTTCCCGACGCCACCATCACCTCCTCTAACTTTGCTCAACGGCCACTTGAGCAAGGACGCTGACATCGCGGGCTAGTTTAGCTGCAGGAACAGAAAGATGCAGTTTGCTGTATGACACTGCGGTGATGCCTTCAATTGGACGCCACCACGTAATTGCTGGCTGCTCATTTCCGTTCAGTGTGGCAGCTGAAATGTTGCATCTCCGAGGAGGAGTAGCACAGGGCCCAATATCACAGCCTTACGTTGTGTGCCGTGTACTTAAGCATGAGATTTCCGAGAGAAAGTAGAAGGGCGATGCTGGGCCATCTCGGACATCAAGCAGCTCAACGTTCACCCGCAACCCTTCACTCTCGTTTCAACACACTCGCTTTCATAACCAACATGTTCCAGCTCAAGAAACTTCTTGTTCTGGCTCTCCCAGCCTTGGCTCTCGCCGAAGAGGCCTTCTCTCCTCTCAAGCGCCAGATTGTAGAGATCCCGTGCAGCGAGTCTGGCCGGAAAGACTGCGGTGATGGCTGCATTCCCTTGACCTACACTTGCTGCCCAGACCAGCAGGGCGGTTGCCCCTTGACGTCCACGTGCTGGCTCGGTAACAACGGCCAGTATGCGTGCTGTCCGATTGGCAAGCAATGTGTCGGTCCGGGCGGTGTCAACACGGAACCCGGCTCGACGGTGACGTCTACCCTCTTCTTCACGGAGTCGATTCCGGACGAGAAGACTTCCACGTCCTTCTTCGCGTCGACCTCAACCGCGACTTTCACCCTCACTTCCGAAATCGGGAGCACCTCAGCAAAGACTTCTCTTGTGCCTAAACCGACCACTTCTCTTCCGGCACCTCCGGTTGTTTCCAACACGCCGACGACGACTGCTACACTGCCGACGATCACCGCGAATAGTACCACGGCCCGGTCGCCCCCGGTCACGGTGAACGCAGCGAACACCCACGGTGGCTCGATCCTTCAGGCAATGGCTGCTGGTGCCGTAGCCTTGCTTGCTCTTTGAAACTTGTGTATACCGAGATGAAAATGTGTTCGATGTTCAGATCAACGGAAATGCTGTCGTCGAGGTGTAATAGTTGTCTGAAGAAAAGGGCGGGCGAATGTGGGTAAGAAAGAGAGAGGATCGATAGCTTTTGCAACCAAAACGTAATGGAAATGAAAATTGTCAGGTTGGACCTCGTCTCCCCAACTTTCCGTACCACCAAGGGATCCGCCACCATTATGGTTTGGCCGAGATGAGTCTCGAGCTTGCCTTCAGAATCCGGGGCTCCGGACCCAGACTTGCAAAGTGGCGTGCTTTCTCGTGGGGGACGTGTGATTAAAGGGCGCGCACAAGGCGTAACGGACATGTGGAAGCCTGGACGGGGTTCGCCCCGTCGTTATCGTGTGTGTGATGCAGATTTGACACCGGGACTAAAGCGTTTGAGTCAAACATGCTCATAGAGATATTTCGTATCTCTGAGCGGCCAAGAACGACGATGTTGAGCCACCGCGTAGCTAGCAAAACTTATAAGTCGGGATCGGGATCGGGATGGGTCGCCGACTAAGCACTAGTCAAAGGAGCTGGCGTCGGATCAGTTTTCCGTTTCTCTTGGCCGGCGAGCTGGATGCGGGGGAAACGGCAACTTTGAACCTCCACCGGTCCGCATCAAGGGTACCAATCAACGGGGACAGGTAGACTTGGAGATGGACGGTCTCAATTACCCTTTCCAGCTCCCTGGTCAAGGCTGATAAGCTTTGTAGGTCCCTTCTGAAGAAATGACAAAGTTGAATCATGTTCGCGAACGCCGACAGCATGTTTCTTGCAGTAGGATTCGTCTCGTATCGACCGGGGCGGCACAGAAGTCAGCCTTCCGGGGACATTGTCTTCAAACTCGGGCTTATGAAAAGTGGGCGTCTCAATTATTGCGTGCTGGTCAGGCGATCCTTATCGAAGGCGCGGTTCGGCACAAGGGAGCTCCAGGAACGCGACAGACTTAGACGCGATGTCTCCGTACTACTACTTTGCGGTTCAGGTATTTGGTGAAGGTCAACATCGGTGTTTAGAAATGTCGTTCGGAGCAAGTTTCCCAACATCCAATCAGACATCTGACAGGCTTCCCCAGGACCGAGAGGCCGGTGACACACTGCAACTAGGAATTTGCGCGATTTGATGGGAATTGGCGAGTGCATGTGCTGCCCAACTTCAAGGGACTCTGGAGAAAAAGATGAAAAGTTTACGTGATAGTTTGGTACGAGGGCGGGTACCATCGGTGTTTACCCCGTCGTGGAGTCACTCGAAGTGAAGGAATCTGAAATGCAGCCGCGCACAGGCAGCCACGTGATATGGGGCCTCTTGCCCAAGTATGTACTCAAGTACCGGTAAGGTAGTCTTAGGTAAGCTGCGGCTTGGATGTTTGCAGTTGTTCCGGGAGGTACGTACTGCTGACTCCAATTCCCGTCTCTGCCTGAGCCTCCAATTTGGACCGCAGATTTTCTCGGTGACAACTGCAACCACTTTAACCACCCGTTTTCCTCACGTTCTCAGTCTGTCAGCAATTCATTTCCAGTAACAACATGTGCCATCCTCGGACGTTAGCCTCTTATCAATACGGTGTGCCCGAATGTGTGGCCGAGTGTGGATGTCGTGTGGATTGCCAAGTAGATAAGCCTTCCGTCCGAGTTTACCCCATGGGTTCGCCATGAAAACGTTACCACACAGAAACAGCTGATGGACTGCCAGGTTTCTGCTTTCGGTTTAGTTCTTCCCCATGACTGGATCTGCCCGCCTTCTGCACCAGTCAGTGCCGAGAAGCCCTTTTGCGCCTTTCGCCTCCAAACAACATCCAACAAGGGTTCAGTTGCAGCTCGCGCGCCTGGGCATACACGCAGATACCGCAGAGTCAGTCAGTTTGTCGAATACCTAGTACCGTACCCACGCCGCAGAGGAGCACAGCGTACCATCAATACGTCACGTCGGCATTCCACAAGGGTTGATTCATCAGCGTGGGAGCGCGGCGGGCAGAAACAATGGGTTGGACTATCCGTACGCTCGCAGAAACCAACGGAGGCAGCTTCCGTTGCTTGGTCAAGCATGGGGCCTACGTACAAGTGTAGTGTAAGCTGCCCGTCTCA